AAAGTATTATAATGAAATGTGCAAAGAACTGGAGCTAGAAAATCAAAAGGTAAGAAAGAACATGGTCAGCATTTATAAAGTTGAAAGGACTGAAGAAAAAATTCAAGCCTCACATTGCAATATTGAAGGATTCCATGGGCAAAATCTCCTAGTGTGGCGCTATAAGATAAACACCAGACTGCAAGGTCAGTTTGAACTAAACATCAGCCGTTCAACTTACCAGGTGCTTCTTGGAAATTCCATGAGTAGCAACTGACTTGGATGGTGCTTAATAACAATGGGCAAAATTTTAAATGACAAAGGAAGCATCATAAGAAGATGGAATACATAGTCATTGTACCAAAATGATTAGCCAATATTCAACCATTTCAAGAGGTACTAGGTGATCAAGAACCAATAATACTGAGGGAAGAGGTCCAAGCTCACTGAAAGCAACCACTAAAGCCAGTAATGAAGAAATTGAAGAATTCTACCAATTTCATCAGTATGAAATTGATCAAACATGCAATCAAGGTGTATTGATAATTACTGGCAATTGGAATGCAAAGGTTGTATAAACAAAGAAGGATCAGTACTTAGAAAATATGACCTTGGTGATACAAACGATGCTGGAGATAGCATGACAGCATTTTGCAAGACCAATGACTTCTTCATTGCAAATTCCTTTTTTTAAACAACATAAAAGACAATCATGTACATAGACTTCACCAGATGGAATTCACAGAAGTCATCTGTAAAAAGAGACATTGGAAAAGCTCCCTATCTTCAGCCAAACAAGGACAGGGGCAGTCTGTGGGAAAGACCATCAATTACTAACATGCAACTTCAGGCTGAAACTGAAGAAAATTGAAACAAGTTCTCATGAGCCAAAACATGACCTTGAATATGCCCCACCTTAATTCAGAGGTCATCTGAAGAACAGATTTGATGCAGTAGTCACTAAAGACCAAAGACCAGAAGAGTTGTGGGATAACGACAGGAATATCATACAGGAATAGAGCAAATCATCAATATAAGAAAAAAGGAAAAGACCAAAATGGATGTCAGAAGAGACTCTGTAACTTGCTCTCCAGCATAGAGGTGCTAAAGCAAATGAAAGATGTGAGGAGGTAGCAGAGCTGAACAGAAAATTCCAAAGGTCAGCTTGAGAAGACAAAGTCAAACATTATAATGTGCAGATAGCTGGAGTTAGAAAACCAAAAGGGAAGAACACACTTAGCCATTCTCAGGCTGAGGGAACTGAAAAAAAAATTCAAGCCTAGACTTATGGTATTGAAGGATTGCATAGGTAAATGCTGAATGATGCAGAAAGCATCAAAAGAAGATGGAAGGAATGCACAGAGTGACTGAACAAAAAGAAAATGGTCGATGTTCAACCATTTCAAGAGGTAGCATGTGATCAAGAGTCAATGATCCTGAAAGACAGGGTCGCTATGGGTCGGAACCGACTCGATGGCACTTAACAACAACAACAACAACAAGTCCAAGGTGCACTGAAGTCATTGGTAAAGAAAAAGTCACCAAGAATAGATGAAATAAACTGAAATCTTTCAACAAACTGATGTAGCACTGGAGGTATTCATCTATGCCAAGAAATTTGAAGACTACCTGGCCAATTAAGTGGAGGAGATCCATATTTGTGCCCATTCTAAAAAGAGGTGACTCAAAGGGATGTGAAAATCATCAGATAATATTATTGGTATCCCAAGCAAGTAAAGTTTTACTAAAGGTAATACAAAAACAGCTGCAATCATACATTGACAGAGAACTTCCAGAGGTTCAAGCCAGATTCAGAAGTGGACATGGAATGAGGCACATCATTGTTGACATCAGGTGGACCTTGGCTGAAAGTAGAAAATACCAGAAAGATGTTTACCTGTGCTTTATTGACTATGTAAAACCTTTTGATTGTGTGGATCTTGACAAGGTATGGACAAAATTGCAAACTATGAATATTCTGGAACACTTAATTGTGCTTATGGGGAACCTGTACATAAAACAAGAAGCAGTTGTTCAAACAGAAAAGTGGAACACCAAATGATTTAAAATTTGGAAAGGTGTGCACCAGGGTAGTATTTTTTCACTAAATTTATTCAATCTGTATGCTGCACAAATAAACTAGTAGATGGATTACATGGAGAAAATCATGGCATCAAGATATGAGGAAGACTCATTAACAACCTGCACTATGCAGATGATACAACCTTGCTTGCTGAAAGCGAAGGGAACCTAAAATACTTATTGAGAAGACCAAAGACCACAGCCTTCAGTATGTCTTGCATCTCAATGAAAAAGCAAAAATCCTCACACAGCATTCATATTAATGAAGACAAGATTGAAGTTCTCAAAAACTTCATTTTGCTCAGCTCAACCACCAACACTCATGAAAGCAGTCAAGAAATCAAGCAACATATTGCATTAGGTAAATCTGTGACACAAGATCTATTTAAAGTGTTGAAGATCAAAGATGCAAGTTTGAGGATAAAGGTGCACTTGAGCCAAGCCATGGTATTTTCATATACATGTGAAAGTTGGACAGTGAATAAGGAAGACCATGGAAAATTGATGCATTTGAATTATGGTGTTGGAGGAGAATATTCAAAGTACCATGGACTGCCAAAAGAACCAACAGATCTGTGTTGGAAGAAGTGCAGCCAGAGTGCACCTTGCAGGCCAGGATGGACAAACTTTGTCTCTCATACTTCGGACATATTATCATGAGGGGTCAGTGACTGGAAATGGATATCATGTTTGGTAAAGTGGAGGGTCAGAGATAAAGAGGGAGACCCCCAAAGAAATGGATTGGCACAGTGGCGGCAGTGATAGGCTCAGGAGTAGCAACGATTGTGTAGTTGGCCAAGGACCGGGCAGTGTTTCATTCTGTTGAACATAGGGTTGCTATGAGTCCTTATTGACTTAATGGCACCTAACCACAACAAATCCTTATGGGAGCAGGTGGACTTGAACTGCTAACCTTGCATGTAATG